AAAACGTGCCTCTTGTGACTGATTTTTGTGGAAGTGTATGTCCTTATGCAGTAAGGTACATACACGGTACACATACAACAAAGAAGCACATGCTGAATGCAATAAAAGTAAGAATTAATGAAGATTCTATTTGAACCTTCAACAAATACTCATTGCAAATGAATGTAGACATACAAGAAGCATGTTCAAGGGGAAGATGACACTGAGCTGCAGTTATATATTACCTATGTTCACCAATGATGATATAATAGTATTAAATAAGGCTAAATTATTACCATTATGTAGCCAACTTAAATCACCCTTCATCGACATGCATTTTGATAAATGTGCTGGGCCTACAAGCATTGCATTCAGATATGGGTAGAGGTGCAGCTGGTTCCAGTGCTGCTACTTCAGGCTGTGCTGGTAGTTTGAGGCACAGGAAGGGAGGTAAAGATACCAACAAAGCTCCTGCAGAGGAAGTGGGGGAGCATGTGACCATATTGGCATTGAAGAAGACAGAAGTAGGAGACCCCTATCAGTGGATAGTATCAGTGACTCAGTATCAATAGGTGATGAAAATAATATGAGAATTATTACCAGAGTGTGAGTGACTTGGATGCTGTCTCTGTTATATGCTGTTTATGGGCTAGAATACTGAATTAGTATGGAAGGGTGGAGGTGGAATTGAAGCCTTCCTCTCAGTCCCTCACAAATCAGTTCACTTAAAAAGGAAAGTAGCTGCTTGGAGCATTAAACTTGAAGGCAGACATGAATGCAGTGTGAAAATCAATAATGTATTTCAGCTCAAATTTTTTGTSTAGTACTGGCATTTAAATCACTTAATAAGGGGAAGTGTGGACATGTATAACTGAAGGGTTATTATAGAAAATGTAAATACAGGAAGTTGCATACAATTCTGAATGAAGCTATAGCAAGAAAAGTGTGGGAGTGCTATAATGTCAAGAGAAAAGGGGAGTGGACAGTATGAAGGGATTTAAAAAAAAATGTTATTATTGAATGAATTGAAGGAGACTTGCTGATTAACTTCCTAAAGGCGGGGACTGTTTCGTTGTGTCATGGTTTAGTGCAATAGGTTCGTGTTATTCCCAGATAAGAGACTTACCTTTCACCATCATTTTGTCTTAAGGCCTGGCTAATTTTGCTTCTATGGAAAGCATATTTCTTCAATGCCATTTCTGTATTTAAAAGSCAATGTACTATGAAAAGAAGAATTGGAGTTCTAGACAGTCTGCTTGCCTTAATTCCAGTGTTTTGTGAAAACTCTGTTATCTTCAAGGTTCTTGCTTGGGAAGGATGGGAGGAGGGATCATTCCAGCATTGCACACGCTYGCGATTTCTTTGGCAATTTCAATAGTGTTTACTGCCTAATTTAGTTTTTCAAGTGACAGCTCTCCCCCCCCCATTATTTTAAATAATTCTTGATGTTAATCATTCAGGAAAAGTAATGAAATATGAAGTGAATTCTTACAGTGGAGATACTAACCATGATACTGAGTAAATCCACTCTGCTTTCTGGTCCGTCAGGCAAAATATTACAGTTGAAGGAAGGGCTTGGTACAAAATTCTGTTGCTGTAAACAGTAGGATTGCATCTCCTCTGGCCTCTGAATCAAGACACATTAGGCTTTCTTTCAGATGTTCGAGCAAGACAAAAACAGAGTAAAATACAGATTACTATAAAGGACAAATAGAAATAGTAAAGGTGGCTGTTAGAGATGTTCTGCACATGCTAAAGTACAGAGAATATACGCTCTCCATGTTTTGTATGTCGTTTACATTTACAATAAAAAGTAAGTACTAGCATTAATAATAGTACTTATCTCTCATGTATCTTCTCGCCCTAGACTAAATTGTCTTAAACCATTTCTTAAACCATTACTTAAACTTTTTTGGCTTGGGRTCAAAACTTAAAACAATGTTCATTTGTGGACTGAATGCAAGTGATTGCCTTCCATCTTTTTTCTTGGGAAGCTTAGTGGGATTCATCCAAAATGACGATTAGTGCAGTCTGGGAAGGGCCTAGTGCCTGACTGTAGATTTTGAGACTGGTTTTAACCCCGTGTCCTGGTTCTGGCCGGGACAGAGTTAATTATTTTTCATGGTGCCAGGCGTGGTGGTGCGTGCTGTAGCCCTGAGCCTGCCGGTTCGCTGAGCCCGTTCCGTGCTGTGGCTGTGCTGAGTGGGCATGGCCAAGACCCAAGTGTTGTTCATTACCATCTTGTCCCATTGCTGGGGAGGTGAGGGAAGAGTCTCTTTCTCCTGCTACCGAGAAGAAAGAGGCTTGTTTCTGGTCCTAGAGAAAGCGTGGTGGGTGGAGCATCTGTCTGCTGTTGTTTTTCATTGTCCTGGGCTTGCTGAGCATTWTTACGTGTGAATAACTCTCTCTTTGTACATTCTTGTATTTAGTGTTGTTTCTGTTCATTTTCTTACCTCATTGCTGTTTCCAGTAAATGTCCTTATCTTAATCCTTGAGCTCTGCCTTTTGTGTGTTCCATGGAATGGGAGGGGAGCAGATCGTGAATTTCTTTTTAGTCGGAMTACTAAATTGGGGAATACCATTCCTAAACCACAACAATGCATGAGAAACCAAAGTGTGATGATGTTCCCCAGTTTCAGAACAAACTTAGAGCAAGACTTTTTCTTTCYTGAATTCTCTGTTATTCTAAGGATCAGGGCAAGACTTACTGCTCTTCAAATATTGATTCCTATGATGATAAAATGCCCTAATATTATGCTACAGCGATAAAATTGGAAAGTATTTAACATAATTTTCCTGATGTCTTCTAGAGTGAATTAATATAGAGTTTATACAAGAGCTGTGTGTATTGTATGTCTGCTCGACAAAATACCTTTTGCTGAAGAATTTCACCAATGGCCTGTTTGGAGCTGTCTGGTTGTCACTAGAAGTCTGGAAACCTTCTTGCAGTTTCATTACAGTGCTTCTAGCCTGATAGATGTTTGCAATCAGGGATCCCAGCACCAGGAAATGTCTGGTTTCACCCTTCTCTGCGAGCTTCATCTTACCAGTGACTCTGAGGAGTGGTATCAAAAAGGAGCAAAGGAAAGGCATAGACCTCTTTTGATGTAGAAAGCATTAAAGAAGTAAAACATACCTATTTATATGAAAGGTTTGTATAGCTTAGTTTTTTTGTATTCAGTTTTTAATTCTCTTTTTTCTGTCCAGGTAAGGAGAAATTAACCTTTAGAGGTGATAGATATAAAGCTTGTTCTGACTGTGTATGTTACTGGTATATTTCAGGATTGACATAAATGGGATATCAGAGATGTGTCTATTGCAATCAATGCAATTTATGACACGCTGTTAGTTGAGGATGATGCTAAAACCTATGCAAAAAGGGAACCAGAATTGTGTAGAAACAGGCAGAGAGAGCAGATGGGAAATTAATTCAGGTTTTCCAGTTCTGGGAAATGTTATCCTAGATAATTGGGCAAGAAACCACAGCTTTGTTGTACATTTTTCTTCTAGTCTTGGGCTGGCTGTTAGCAAATTGGGTGAAAAAATGTTTATGGGTTCCGCTTTACCAGTGTAACAGAGAACAATAGCACATTTGGAAGACTAATTGGARAGTGTTAAAGACTATCCTGTGCTGCTGCTTGGGAACTTCTAGCTTCCAAGGCAGTCACTTCCCAGAGACCTCAGAAACTCTCTGTGGATTTGCTGTGTAAAAATAACGGTATGAAGCTGAGGCTTTTGATTTCTTGCCAAACCTGTGCCAGTTTAACCTGGGTACAAATCCTGTGTCAGTGGGCATGGACATACCCACTGCGTAGCTGTCTGATGACAAGATTAATGAGGTGGGGATTAGTAATTCCAGGAGACAAATGCTTAGGCCGTGTGGTTTGGAGATGTTTYTCATTTGATCTGTTCAGTTAAAATACCGAAATATGTTTTTGAAATGAGATTTGATAAGAAATAAAAAGTCTTCTGAATTGCTGTCTTCTGTTGCTTTCCATCAGCTTGTTGGTCTTCCAAGAGAAGTCAATTGCTTTAGTAATGGAGTGTCTCCCTTTTGCATGGTTTTCAGAGAAGAGTAAGAAATTAAGGTGGACGTATTTCCCAAACCAGTATATAGCCTGTTGTCCTGTTTCTTGACGGTGACTGAAAATAAGCAGAAATTAACAGTATCAATACATGCTTGTTAGTATAATTCCCTGAATATTCTTTCTGTTGCTAGTTTGTAGCTCASGCATCATGATCTGGAGGTGTGGTCTGCCTAATTAGCACTCGAGGGGAGACAATCCAGACTGAGTGGCATCACACTCTGATGGGGAATGTAACCCTGGGTGGCCTTGGGCTTTTGGTTTCTTGCCCTCAGTGGGGTGATGCCAGTGAGTGGAGAGCACAGGCTATGAGAGTTGCATGTGAGGGCTSCTGAAGAATGGCTGGCCTGCACCTTGGTAACATCCCCTAACTTGGGATGCTGGATAAAGATTCTTGCAAAGTGAGTGGTATCTGTTAGGTAGATTGTTGAGGAATTTTGGAATAGAAGCAGAACAGTCCTCACCCATAAAATGGTGTAATCATCCACACARTAAGGGTCTTATTCCAGTAAATCTYGCTTTGTCTCTCAGRCTCGGAGCCTTACTCCTTCAAGGGGTAGATAGAGGAATAATTTTTAATAAATTAGTTTTAGTTTTTATTTTTGACTAGCTTTCAGGGTTTAATTTCTTTTGGTTCAGAACTAGCATTCTGGATTTTTGCGTCTGTTGTTGCTTTAGTTGTGTTTCTATGTAGGAAAAAGGTACAATTGTGAGAACGGGGAAAAAATTAAGTTTCCTGCGAGAAGTGGAAGGATCCTTTGTGAAGGACTAGCAAGTGAATAGCAGGAATTCTGTTCTGATGGAATCAGCTCTGGTCAGGGCTGCAGTGAAAGRTGTTTCACAGTAGCAAGAGTGTTACAGTAAATTGTCTTGTTGCATTGACTCRCCTCATCTGCAGCATCTCATATTTTAACTCGCTCTTTCTTAACTTGACAGGCAAATATTTGCTTCCAAGTGCAACTGGACAGCAGCTGTGGCAACCTATAGAAACCACTAATCTTGTTCGGATGCGCTACCAAACACTTGGACAGTCAGCACCTTCACTCACTGCTAGTTTGGTGAGTAATTTTTTTTGATGCTAGAAATGTACCAAAAAAATTGTATCTCCTTGTACCTGTTGGTGGGAGGATGAGAATCAAGCCAGAGTCTATTTCTAGACCAATCTCTCCTCCTTAAGCCGTGTTTTTAAAGTACTTAATGCATGACTGTGCACTACATTGCTTAATATGTTGAGTGCAGCTGAGAAACATTTATGGTAGCAGTAACTCTGAATTGGGTTACTGGATTTTGCATAAAGCCTGAGCTGAATGTTGCATTGATATAGTGTTTGCATTTAGATGGTTTCTTTCCAAAAAAAGGCATGCTTTTTAGGACAGCAATAGAAGGCAGCTGTCCTTTCTCCTGAGCCTTCTTTTCTATCAATGTCCATTTCCACTTCCTGAAGTAGTTTGTCCTCATGAGGACACAGATATGTGAAGTGTGAGTTTAATTWACACTTTTGGATAAGATGGTAAGGGAAGAAAAAGGGACAGTGATGCATCATGCGCTTGAACTTTCAGCTTTTTGTTATCAAGTATCCATTTTACTGCTTTGYGTTTCTGTATATTAATATCTTAATATGTGTTGAAATTTAATGCAGGGCCTTGCATACCAGCCTATACTCTTCTTCAAAGAGTTATGGTAATGCATTTCTTGTATGAAGAATGAAAAAAAATTATTAATGCTTTGCCTCCCCTGTCTTCTGCCTTTTGGCTGGTCATTAAAACTTTGTAGATACATATCTACTTTCTGGGGGAAGCTGATTTTGGATTTGCTTTGGATATTTTAAAAACAATAGTCAGGTTGAAGGCAGCTATAGTCGGCCAGTGTGGAGCAGATATCTACCTCATATKGACAGGTAGATGGCTGTTTCTCCATGGTCTGTCTGAAGGAGGATTTCACTTCAAATGCAGCAAATATTCACCTGTAAATCTCATCCTGGCTTCTGCTTGGTGGTGGTGCTGTTTGTGGCTCTTCAGGGCAGATATGGCTTTTTGAACTCCACACTTAGTACAAACACTTCGTTCTATGCTTTGAACCCTAATATTTTCCAGGGAATAAGTGTCAACCTATGTACTTCGATGTGTCAGGATAGGTGTCAATTATTTATTATTTATTTAGAGTATATATAATTGAAATGGCAAAAAAAGTAGATAAATGGTCAGAAATCAATTTAAATTGCATTAAAACCGCATTTTTTTTTCTTTTCTATATTTGGAAATAAAAAATGATTTCTTCTAAATTAACTAAATTTGAAAAGGGCTGTGTTGCTATTTGATGCTCTGTTTCTATTTGCACAACTATTAGGAGGCTTGCTGCTAGCAATATTGTGCTTTTGTTTTGCTGTGATTCTTAAACTACAGGAAGAGGAAGATGCAGCACCATTTTGACAAAAAGTGCTTTAAATGGTCATAAAACAACAGACTAATAAAAAATTCAGTGAGCCTTGCTTCCTTAAGGGCCTTTCACTCATCACCTGTATAGTTTTATGGCATATCTGTCTGCCACAGACTTCTTCCTTCCTGTCTCTCCACATCTTTTATCTGTGCCTGACTGCAGTTTCTTTCATGCTGGYGCAAAAGCAGGCAAGAGCCATCTAAGCAGATCTGAGCAGATTGTGCACAGGGTGGAGGTGCAGTTCCTCAGAAGTATTTATTTCTTATCTGGAACTGCCATCAGATTTGCCTCCTAAGGAGGTTAATGCKAGTGTCACAGGCAGGGCTCTTCTCAAGCTTCCTTTGACAAATACTTTGCTGTCAGGCTTTTGAAGGACTCTGGTCTTTGCTTAAAAAGGGCCATAAGTATAGGGATCACCTCCCTATACTCCTGCACTTTTTTCTTTTCCCCTTGATTCTGTGATTTGACAGTGTTGAATTCAGGAGACCTATTGTTAGATTCTAGTAATTGGAGCTTTTAATCATATTTAGGAAAGAATTTACCCTTATGTAGAGGAGATTTGTATGAAGAATTTCCATGTAGCTGTTCACAGTCTGAATGGAAATGTCTTTAAATGTATTGTCTCATGCATCTGAAAAATAATTATGATGTTCCCTAATTCATTATTATTTATGACCTTTCTTTGGTCATTCTCACTGGGATTGATACTGATGTGGGTCTGATGGAGTRGTTATGAGCCAATATTGACAAGAATGACAAGTGAACAGGTCAAAGATACATGCTAGTGTTTAGTGCAATTGCAAATGGGGTACAAAAGACATACTTTTGACTTTTTCTGTCAATAGTTTATAAAAAATTCACAAAATCTCTCACTGGTTCACAGGTGTATAGTTTCTGTGGGAAACAATTGATTTTTTTTAATATTGATTAAAAATAGGCTGCAGGTGTTGCTTTAAGTAGAGTTCAGTAGCTATGCATGATTCACTCATGTAGTACATGCAGTTGGACTGTAAATTAAAAATACAGTTTCCACATAGACCCATAGAAACTGGGTTAAAGATGTGTAGGAGAAGGCTGATTTTGTGATGAATGGGCAGTGTATTAGATTTGATATTGTTCCTTCACAGAATCACAGAATAATCTGAKTTGGAAGGGACGCAAAAGGATCATGAAGTCCAACTCTTGGTCCTGCACAGGACAACCCCTTAAATCACACCAGGTGCCTGAGAACATTGTCCAAATGCTTCTTGAGCTCTGTCAGGCTGTGRCCACTTCCCTGGTGAGCCTATTCTAGCCCAGCAACCCTCTGGGTGAAGAAACTTTTCCAAATATCCAACCTAAACCTCCCCTGTTACAACTTCAGATCATTGCCTTGGGTCTTGTCRCTGGTCACCACAGAGAAAAGATTGATGTCTGTCCCTCCTCCTCTCCTGGTGAAGTTGTAGACTGCAGTGAGGTCTCCCCACAGTTCGGAGGTAGMTAAGTGATGGTTGTGTTACTCTGCAGTTTCTGCCATGAGCATTTTGAATTGTCTGTGAGATGGATTCTGTGGTGGTGAAACAGATCATGGGAGTCTGCAGAGAGAAGTAATGAGGACTTAAAACCATAAGAAAATGATGCAGAATATCGTCTGCACTAAATATAGGGGGAAAGCTGAGTTGAGGAGATGAACTTTAGGAGGTTTTTATGGGTCATGTTGAGCTGGTCAATCTCTTCCTCTCCCCAGTCAGTACTGTGTGCTCCTGGAAGGCAATTTGGCGTGTGTCCCAGTGCTGAGTTTTGCGGGAGTGTAGGGGAGCTGTGGTAGGGCTAGTTTATCTGACTTCTTGCACTGTGTGTTGACAGTCATCTCACCTGAATTCGGGCATCTTTTCAGGGTGGGATGGATTGGGAATTAACTTGGAGCTTCTGCCTCATTCACTGTCTAAAGTTCAGGAGTCATTCTCTTGTCCTCTATCTGTCTTCTGCCATGCCACAAGTATTTTTGAGTACCATTTGTAAACTTACTGTTTTAACTTTTCTGTTTGTTATTGTGATCAGAATTTTTGGAAAATGCTTTGAAATGAATTGGAATAAAGCAAATTTTGTTAGTTTCTCATTGTAATAAGCTGATTTAACTCTTGTAATTATGATAACAAGTCTGAAACKAAGCATTTACTTACTGTTTTATATGCAGAAAGGTATTTTGTGTGACACAGATTGAATGAAATTCTTGATTTTAACATTTTCTAGAAACATATATAGAAACAATGGAAACCTAAACGGAAAGGGTCTTTATGATACATAATGATAAATGTRTAGATGAAAGAAAAGAATTTACCCAATTTAATAGGGTAAAATTCCTTCAGATTTGCTTTGGCTTTATCATGGTTTAGTGTGAAASTCCTGTTATGGGTTTTATTGATCTATTGCTTGTTTGACTGTATGGTGGGTTTTCTATCTAATTAAAAAAAAAGTAATCAAGGAACATGAAATCTTTCATTTTGTTTTTCCGTTTTATATAAAAAAGAAACCCTCTCCTCTGTGCCACAAGAAAGATTTCTCACAGTCCAGAGAGCTTTCTAAGATGGCATAATTTATGATTACTTTATGGTAACTTGCACTATGAAATACTCACATAATAAAAATACACTATAAACAAGATCCTCAAATGAAACATGTAGGTTGTAATACACTTGGCTTTTAAATTCAGTCAAGACTGGATGTGTGATTTCAGCTTTATGGCAAGTATTCAGCTTAGGTTAGCCATTCTGTTGTGTGAGATGAGTATACATCAAGAGGTAAATCAGGCTCTGTAAAGGCATGTTGTTTCTTCTTGGTAGTGTGAAAGATTTCAGTGAAATGAATGGCTTATGCCCTTTCCTACTAAGCAGTGAAGGGATGTTTTTTCTAGGTATGATTAGAAACATTTGCTACTTTTTAGCATCCCCCGGCAAACTTCCTTTTCCAAAACTGCAGAAGATTGTTTGCAAACATCTGTACTTTGGTTGCTTTTTATTGTCATTTTATCAGTGTTAATTTKTAAGAATGGTCTTATGGAAACTGGAGGGGGCTAATTATATAAAGTACTGATTTGTAAGTTGGATTGCTGAAAGGAAACAGCATAAGAAATCTTCAATGTGTATGAAAAGCAGTTCTACTTCTTCAGAAAGAGCTTTGCCTCTTTCTTTCTTTTAAATAGTATAATACTGAAAATGAGTAAGTGTGTCTTTGTTAAATATGCCATTAACTTCAGCTAAATTGACATAATGTTGACAGTTATTATGAGAACTGTTTCAAAACTAATTATGCTAATTAGAACTTAACTACCAGTAATTGCATGTATTCAAACAGCACACCAACACCCTTTTGTGTGTTTTATTCCCCAGATGTAAGACAGCCATTTGTTGTCTCAGAAGCTGCAAAATTACAATATAGATAATAAATGATTGTGAGCAAATAAAATACATTCTTTAGAAGTCCTAATTGGTTAGATAAGCGAATGACAGTATCAGTTGTGCTTGGCCAAACCACATAATTTAAAAAAGGCCTTAATTTAAATATTTTATTTTGGAATTGTAGGCAATTTTTCAAATTATTAATTATCCATGTTCAGTTTTATCTAATGAATATCAGGTATTGC